TGTTGTCGCTGTTGTCACTGCTGTCACAGTTGTCACTGTTGTCGCTGTTGTCACCATTGTCACTCTTGTCACTGTTGTCACCGTTGTCACTGTTGTCACCGTTGTCACTGTTGTCACTGTTGTCACTGCTGTCACAGTTGTCACTGTTGTCACCGTTGTTACTGTTGTCACTATTTTCACTGCTGTCACAGTTGTCACCGTTGTCACTGTTGTCACCGTTTTCACTGCTGTCACTCTAGTCACTGTTGTCACCGTTGTCACTGTTTTCACTGTTGTCGCTCCTGTCACCGTTGTCACTGTTGCACCCTTGTCGCTGTTGTCACTTTTGTCGCTGTTGACGTGGTTGTCTCTGTTTTCACTGTTGTCACTGTTGTCACCGCTCTCACGGTTGTCACCGTTGTCACTGTTGTCACCGTTGTCACTGTTGTCACTGCTGTCACAGTTGTCACCGTTGTCACTGTTGTCACCGTTGTCACTGTTGTCGCTGTTGTCACTGCTGTGACAGTTATCACTGTTGTCGCTGTTGTAACCATTGTCACTGTTGTCACTGTTGTCACCGTTGTCACTGTTGATGTGGTTGTCACTGTTGTCACAGTTGTCACCGTTGTCACTGTTGTCGCTGTTGTCACTGCTGTCACAGTTGTCACTGTTGTCGCTGTTGTCACCATTGTCACTCTTGTCACTGTTGTCACCGTTGACGCAGTTGTCACTGTTCTCACCGTTGTCACTGTTGTCGTTGGTGTTACTTTTGTCACTGTTGTCACTGTGTTCACCGTTGTCACTGTTGTCACCGTTGATGCTCTTGTCCCCGGTTTCCCTCTTGTCACTGTTGTCACCGTTGGCACTGTTGTCACTGTTTTCGCTGTTGTTACTGTTGTCACTGTTGCCACCGTTGTCACTGTTGTCACCATTTTCACTGCTGTCACGGTTGTCACCGTTGTGACTGTTGTCACCGTTGTTACTGTTGTCACTATTTTCACTGCTGTCACAGTTGTCACCGTTGTCACTGTTGTCACCGTTTTCACTGCTGTCACTCTAGTCACTGTTCTCACCGTTGTCACTGTTTTCACTGTTGTCGCTCCTGTCACCGTTGTCACTGTTGCACCCTTGTCGCTGTTGTCACTGTTGTCGCTGTTGACGTGGTTGTCTCTGTTTTCACTGTTGTCACTGTTGTCACCGCTGTCAGAGTTGTCACCAATGTCACTGTTGTCACCGTTGTCACTGTTGTCACTGTTGTCACTGCTGTGACAGTTGTCACTGTTGTCACCATTGTCACTGTTGTCACCGTTGTCACTGTTGTTGATGTAGTCACTGCTGTCACAGTTGTCACTGTTCTCGCTGTTGTCACCGTTGTCACTGTTGTCGCTCTTGTCCCCGTTGTAACTGTTGTCACCGTTGTCACTGTTGTCACCGTTGTCACCGTTATCACTGTTGTTGATTTGGTCACTGCTGTCACAGGTGTCACTGTTCTCGCTGTTGTCACCGTTGTCACTGTTGTCGCTCTTGTCACCGTTGTAACTGTTGTCACCGGTGTCACTGTTGTCACGGTTGTCACTGTTGTCACTGCTGTCACAGTTGTCACCGATGTCACTGTTGTCACCGTTGTCACTGTTGTCACCGTTGACGCTGTTGTCACTGTTGTTGCTCTTGTCACTGTTGTCACCGTTGACGCAGTTGTCACTGTTGTCACCGTTGTCACTGTTGTCGTTGGTGTCACTTTTGTCACTGTTGTTGTTGTGTTCACCGTTGTCACTGTTGTCACCGTTGACGCTTTTGTCACTGTTGTCACTGTTGTCACCGTTGTCACTGTTGTCACTGTTTTCACTGTTGTCACTGTTGTCACTGTTGTCACTGTTGTCACTGTTGTCACCATTTTCACTGTTGTCACTGTTGTCACCGTTGTCACTGTTGTCACCGTTGTCACTGTTGTCATCGTTGTCACTGTTGTCGCTGTTCTCACTGTTGTTACTGTTGTCACTGTTGTCACCAATGTCACTGTTGTCGCTGTTGTTGGCATTTTCACTGTTGTCACTGTTGTCATCGTTGTCGCTGTTGTGACTGTTGTCACTGTTTTCATTGCTGTTACTGTTGTCACTGTAGTCACTTTTGTCACTATTGTCACCATTGTCACTGTGTTCAGCGTTGACGCTGTTGTCGCTGTTGTCACCGGTGTCACTGTTGTCACTGTTGATGCTGTTGTCACTGTTGTCGCTCTTGTCACTGTTGTCACTGTTGTCACTGTTGACGCAGTTGTCACTATAGTCGCCTTTGTCACTGTTGTCGCTTTTGTTACTCTTGTCACTCTTGTCACTGTTGTCACTGTTGTCACCATTGTTGCTGTTGTTACCGTTGATGCTGTTGTCACTGTTGTCGCTGTTTTCAGCGTTGTCACCATTGTCACTGTTGTCGCTGTTGTCACCATTGTCACTTTTAGCACCATTGATGTTGTTGTCTCTGTTGGTTCTGTTGTCGCTGTTTTTATTTTTTTTACTGCTGTCACCGTTGTTACTTTTGTCACTGTTGTCGCTGTTGTCACTGTTGTTGCTGATGTCATCGTTGTCACCGTTTTCATTGTTGTCGCTGTTGTCACTGTTGTCATCGTTGTCGTTGTTGTCACTGTTGTCGCTGATGTCATCGTTGTCACTGTTTTCACTTTTGTCGCTGTTGTCACTGTGGTCGTCGATGTCACTGTTGTCAGCGTTGTCATTGTTGTCACTGTTGTCGTGGTTGTCACCGTTGTCGCTGTTGTCACTATTGTGAATGTTGTCCCTGTGGTCACTGGTTTCACTGTGGTCCCTGATTTCACTGTTGTTGTTGTTTTCGCCGTGGTCACTGTTGTCACTGTTGTCTCTGTTGTCGTTTTTGTCTCTGTTGTGAGTGTTCTCGTTCTTGTCACCATTGTCACTGTTGTCACTGTTGTGAATGTTGTAGGTGTGGTCACTCTTGTAACTGTTGTCCGTGATGGTATCTTTTTCGTTTTTTTCGCCGTTTTTACTGTTGTCGGTGTTGTCGGTGTTGTCACTGTTGTGACTGTTGTCGTTGTTGTACTGTTGTCACTGTTGTTACTGTTGTAGCTTTGTCACTGTTGTCGCTTATGTCGCTGTTGTGGCTCTTATCACTGTTGTCACCGTTGTTACTGTTGTTGCTGTTGTCATTGTGGTTGCTGTGGTCCCCTTGTCGTTGTTGTCACTGTTGTCGCTGTTGTAACTATTGTCACTGGTGATGCCGTTTTTATTGTTGTGACTGTTGTCGCTGTTGGTACTGTTGTCATTGTTCTCGCTTTTTTTTGCTACTTTACCTATTTTCACTGTTGTTTCTATTGACACTGTTTTTACAGTTGTCATTTTTGTCCTTGTTGTTTCTGTTGACACTGTTGACTCTGTGTTTATTGTTGTCACTGTTGGTGCTGTCACTGTGGTCACTGTTGTCGCTGTTGACACTGTTGTCGCTGATGTCGTGGTTTTTACTGTTGTCGTTGTTGTCACTGTTGTCATCGGTTTCACTGTTTTGACTGTTGTCTTTGTTGTCGCTGTTGTTGTTGTTGTCAATGTTTTCATTGTAGTTCTTGTTGTCACTTTTTTTGCTGTCGTCAGTGTTTTCACTTTTGTCGCTGTTGCCACTGTTTTCAATGTAGTCACTTAGTAATATTGAAGTCACTAACAGATTAGTTTATACTAGTACAAACTTTTAAGCTTTGAGTTTGGTTGGAAAAGGTTAGTAATGAAGTATGGAAAAATAGCTGCTTTCCTTAAGTCACATGCAGCTAGTTATTTTTTCCAGACAGCAGTGGTGTGTGAGAAAAACAAAATTGTCCAATTACTTTTATAAAACACAAACACTCATCTCTCTTTTTCATGCAAAAAATAAAACAACACAAAACAGAAACGCCTTACTTGCCCTCACAAGCAAAAAAGCCCTGCACTTCTTTACAAGTACTAAAGAGGAACAACCCTTTGCAGAAAAGCGATTCTCCTTTAGTGCATTCCCTCTCCTTTAAAAGTAATAGTCCAGGGGGTTAATTAAATAAAACTTTTAATTACAAGTCTAACCATCGTTTTCAGACTCTAACAAAACAATGGCTACACATGTAAACTGCATCTACAATAATGTAAAAGTTTTATTTAATTGACCTTATAAGGTGAAGGATACAATAACCTTTCCTTATATTTTAACATAGTGGTTATTTGTACAGGACCCGTGCACTTGTAGTTGATGTTCATACATGATTCTGACTATACTGATTAGGGTTATTAGGGTTAAGCACTTAAAATAGTGATTCACTGACCATACTGATTAGGGTTAAGCACTGACTGGACGGTAAGCTTCTTAGGGTTTGGATGTTGATTGATTGATTGATTCACTTTTATTTGAATACGGTAATTTTGAACGTATAGAAACAGAAGTAAAAGTACAATGCACTAAAAATATGTACAAATAATAAAATATAGTAAAATGGTAGTTTAGTGCAGTTTTTTTTTAAAGATGGATTCGGATCAGAACCAAACCATACAGTGGTATAGTGCAGTGGGGGATCCAGACCTTCAGGTTAAGGGGGGAGTGGTGGGGTCATCCAGACCCTGAGATAATGGGGGCGGGGACAATTGGGCCTCAGTTTGGTTTAAAAATTAGGGAAGGAAGGCAGCCCCCCCCCCCGGGTCCCTCCCCTGGATCTTCCTCTGTGGTGGTTTAGGTTATCATCTGCAGTCGCTATGCCCCGGGTTCCGACCTCAGTCATTCCAAAGTGAATTTTTTCCTCTTAAAAATTGCCACTGAATTTTTTCCTTAAAAGTTGAAGAAACATATGCTTTTATGAACATTTGTTGAGCAAACATTTTAAGAGACTCTTTAGAAATTTTGTGGAAATTTCATGAAGAGAGTTTATCCCCTATGAATAGCAAATACAAGGTGGTGTGTGGGTCCCCTGCCCTGTAAATAGCCACTGGCTTCTTTTAAACATGTTGACTTTTTTAATACTTTATTCACAATTAATGCTCTTTTTTATGTTTACAGTTGCTATTAATACATTTGATTATCTGGGAGCAATCTTCAGCTATCTTATAATTGCCATTGCTGTGTTTGGTGGAATGTATGATAGCATGTCTGTAACTGAACTCAGTGCACAGATCAGTAGGGTATGTTGCTAGAAAATACTGCTACCATGCCTGTACTTTTATTTCACCTGTAGATCCAATAAGTGTCACTGAGATTCACAAGTCGTTCAGCATATCAGTCAGACAGTATTTCAGTCAAGTCAGGCAGCCATTCAGTGAGTCAGTCTGCCAGTTAGCCAGTCAGTCAGTAAGCCAGCTGGCCAGTTGGTTGTTAGGTTAGTCAGTTGGTTAGCCAGCCAGTCAGATAATCAGTTCGTCAGGTAGGCTGTCGTTAATCAGTAAGCCAGACAGTCTGTACAGTCTATCAGTTACTCAGTTGATCACACATGGTGTCAGTCATCCAGTTAGTCTGCAAGGCAGCTGGTTGGTCAGTCATTTAGTCGGTTGGTCAATCAGTTGGTAGGTCAGTCAGACAGTATTATATTATTGTACAGTCTGTCTACAGTCGACTAGTTTGTCTATCAGTAAATCACCCTTCTATCGACATGTGTATAGTTCAGGTAATCAGTAAGGTTATTCTGAAGTCAGTCAGTTATAAATACGTTTCATTAATGTGAAGTTGAAAATACGTAATTGTTTGTTACTTATTGAAAGTATTTCCAAGTTCTTAATTCCTTATCTTCTTGTAGACTTTCTTCAAAATATTTCTATGTTTCTCGGCACAATTTCATAATATTATAAACAGCAGATGTGTCCGTAGTCACTCGGCTATTTTGACTTCGAATAGAAATGAACTCTTTTCCCATGTTCTAGAGTTCTACACTCACGCCAAAACAGCTAGGCTGCCGCTGCGTAAGTGCCTGGAAATGAGGTTGTGATTGTAAATTAACAAAATACAATCAATCGTGTATATTGCCCACTTCTTCCAAATTCGATATAAAAAGTGCAAGCTGGCTATGAAAAATTAGCCTGGATGGATAACCAATCAGAAACAGTGAAATGTTTTGAATGGATAATAATTATTATTAATAGTCCACTGATTAATAAAATTTGACCGGTTGAGATATGTAAGGTTTATCGCCGCTTTTTAAATGGAGGGAGGGATGCTGGTAAAATTTAATTCAAAAGGCTTTTGTATTAAATTGTTCATCTTTTTATTTATAAATTGCAGAACTCTTTTTTTGCCATGTACCTGATCAACTGTTGGAGCCAGATCATTGATTTATCAAACGATATTTCGTCCATGGCCGGATATGTTCACAGGTAGTTATGGGAGGTAGCTAAACCACGTCTACTGGAAGTAAAGTCCCGTGCAAACGGACGGAGCATTGTTGGCTAACAACTCCCAACATTGTTGGATGTTACGTGTTGCGTCCGTTTGCACACCCTGTTGCATGTTGTTGGATGTTGTTGCGTGTTGTTGCGCAAAGTTTGAAACCAGTGAAACTTTTCAGCCAACAACTCCCAAGATTTCTTTTGTTCCGTGATCGCCCGAAGCGTAGCGCAACAATGTTGGATCCGTTTGCACAGTTCTTCCAACATCATTGGGGCCGCGCACGCCACTACGCATGGTTTACAAAGACTTATGGGTTGTATCCTTCCCACGATGCACTGCAGGTCCCAACATTGTTGAAAGTTGTTGCATCTGTTTGCACACCACTGCCAGCACGCACCCAACAACTCCCAACATTGTTGGCGCAACAATGTTGGGAGTTGTTGCGTCCGTTTACACGCAGCGTAAGGCCTTTTCCCTGTTATTATGCTTGCTGGCTTGACCATAGTCTCTGGCTTGCCCAACCAAATTTGTATTGCTAAGAGTCTTTACTCTTATAGAGACGATTTGTCCGAAAGGATTTATTTGGACTTAACCACTACACAAGAATGGAAAAAGTCCACTTCCGGTTGACGTGCGTAGCTCAAACAAAATACACACACCCACACAGAGAGAAAAAAGTGCAAATATAGCTGTGATGTTAAGATTTAAGAGTCCTATTTTTCTCTTTTTACTAATGGGTATAATTTGAAACCAAACTATGATTTTTATCGTCCATTTAGTAGACAACACCACAGTTCTTCAGATTATCGCAATTCCAATTGAACGTCCCTGAGACCGTTGATTATTGTACCCGAAAAAAAAGGTCTGTATGCTTCCTCTTTTGTTTTCATTCATTCACTTTTTCTTTCGTTTGACAGAATTGGGCGGCTTCTAGAATACTTTAATGAAAGCGATAAACAGCAGCTTGATAAAGAACATCAAGAATCTTTACGGTAAATATTCTTTCCCTTATCTTGTTTTTTTTTTGTCTGTGAGGTTTAATTTAATTTTGGTCTTTTTTAGTTGGAGAGGTATTTCAAACATCTCTCTTTTTTTAGGGATGAAAATCTAGCTTCACATGGTGGCAATGGTGACACTGTATTCAAGCTCAGTTGCATATCATACTCCCCACCAAACTGTACGGACCCTCTTGTCAGAGGTAGGGTGGTTAATTTTAGATTTTCCTATTATTTTGCCATTAATGCCTTCTCTTCCTGCCTCAAAAGCTGAACCCCCTTTTTTGCTGCACTGCCTGAGCTCTGTGTACAGGGCAACAACAAAACAATGTAATAGGCCAATTCCGATATATTAGAATTCATACTTGGCTGCGAGGGTTGGGAGAATAAAGCAAAAGAAATAATCTTGTGGCTCAATACTTAATAAAACATTTCTTTTGTTTTCTTCACTTAATGCAAGCCTCGGAGCCAAGTATGAATGTTAGTAGATCGAAAATGGTCTATTGGACTAATAGCCGCTTTGATCGAATAATAAAATCCATCATTAAATTCTGATAAAATAAATTTCCCAGCAAAGGTGTGGCCCATGAAATGAACGAACAAATGAAAGTAGAACATGTAGAGGATGGGACAGGGGGAGGAGGAGGGAGTTGAAAGAAACCTTTTCACCGCCGTCAAAGCGTTCTAAAGAGAGTTAAGAAATTGGAGGGGGGGAAACGCTTCTGACAGAACCTTGCGGTCTCCGCGCGCTTATAATTTCCTCCTTTTTCTATGGAATACCTCAGCCTTGCTCGCAGGCTTCGCAATGATGAGCTGCCTTCTAAGCTACGGCTGGATTGATATTTGATTTGCGCGGGCAAAGAGATGATTGGTTTGCAAATTCATCATTTTAACATAATGCACCTTGTCAGTTTACCAAAAAAAAAAAAAGTTTTGCATAACTATTTTCTTTGATTTCTTTTGGGACGACTGTAATACCCATAAGAAATTGGAAACAATGGAAATGCAAAATTTGGGGCGGGGGGCGAAAATGGTGAATTAGTTGCTGCCTTTAGAGGGGTGAAGTGAAAGGGGTTATTGAAGATCCCGTCATGGATGTTGTTGTCATGTTGTTGAGTGTCGTGCATAAACGCGATAAACTATTATTATTTTTTGTTATTTTTGTAGATCTAGACTTAGAAATCAGTCATGGAAAGAATGTCCTTATAACTGGATGTACAGGTAAAAATTAATACTGAATTGTATGCCCTGATCATGAATTTTGAAATGATTTTTCCTAAAATTCATTATTGTATTTTTCTCTGGAAGGAAGCGGGAAGAGTTCTTTGTTTAGAGTTCTTTGCGGCATATGGAAGCCTATTTCAGGTATGGTTTGTTCATCCAAACAAGTAATTTCCGCTATAGACTGCAAGAGCCAGTCTGTCGCTTTAGTTTAACTTCCTCTTTTACACCTATAATCATGGACAAAAGTCTTGGGACAATTTTGCATATCTGAGGCGTTTTCGAATAGGCCATATTTCCGAGTTTCCCCGGGCCTTTATTTCAAAACAAGGGTAGGTGCTCAGCCTTTGGTATGGAAATCATTTTTCATTCTCATGCAAATAAAACTCATTTTCACAAGAAGGGTTGTGCACCTAGCCTCATTTTGAAAGTGAGGGTTTTTGGAACTCAGAAGTGGCCTATTCACACGGACCCAACCCCTCCCCTCACCCCACAAACAATTGTTGGACGCGTGTGTTTTCCGAGTTTCAACTTTGTGTAGGGTGGGGGGAGGGAGAACTGCAGAAACGTTCGAAAAGGATGCACTTTTTTATGAGAGAACTCAGAAATGACAGAAAAATATGAATACTGCATTGCTTTTGTCCATGATTGTAGCTCACGTTAACCCTTTTAGCCCTAAGAGTAATCAACTTCAAATTCTCCTTGCTTTATAGTGGTACTGAGAATTAAGCACATGAACACACAAGATGAATTACAGTGATACCTTATCAACCTCGCCCCATTACCTCTATAGGAAATGTTTAGGGACAATAAATGAAAGTGCAAAGTTTGATATCATGTTTAAAGAGTCGAGAATATTCGTCACTCGAATTTTTGAACCTTTGCACGAACTCCTATGGTATTACCATTCAAATGAGACTTCTTCTGCAAAGTTTCCGCATGAGATTTGATTTTATAAAACTAAATTTAACTGTTATGTTGTTTTATTCCTGTGACTACAAGTATCAATGAAATAACAAGTAACATCTATTTGTAATTATCTTACAGGGGAAGTCTCGCGATTTCTTCCATTAAGCCCCAAAGCTGTTTACTTCTTACCACAAAAGGCATTTATCACAGACGGTACATTGCGAGAACAGGTAACACAAGATCCTTTGCAGTAAAGGTATTCAGGTGCTGGATACAGTCTTATGGTCAACCTTTCATGTGTGCCTTTCAATTTTTTCCTCTTACTTTAGTCGAGTTTGAGGTCCGTACTTGGTAAACTGCACAGTGATTTTACCCTCTCCCGTCAGATATATACTATAAATCTATAATCTGTAAATATCGGTACGGACGAGGTTAAAACGACGTTTATCATATCTCTTTGTTTCTGTGGAGAAATAAATGTACACCTGGGATAAAATTTAAAAGGCAGAAACAAGCAACACTAAAATAGAAACAACTGTATGACTGTTTTTGTGATTTGGGTCCGGTCAACCATCCAAAGGCGCAGAGTCAGTTTTACAAGTTGAAAAAAAAAATACTCAGTATCGTTGGTTTGGAGGGAAGCAAAAGATCTTGCATTTAAGTCGCGTTCCTTTCAGTGTGTCACTGACCGAAAATTGTCAAATCACAAATCGAAAAATGACTTAGTAATTAAATAATGCAATCATATCTCTTAAAAACACTGGTAAGGCCGTTAGCATAGACATACTTCTTTCCGTTTTGATTCTATGGACTGAAATCCTATTGGCTATTCCGAAGTTGCACATGGGACTGAATCAGTAGTGCGTTGGATGTCGCTATAGGACCGTTTTGGAATGCTATCGCTTCTTTTACGAAGTTGCGCAGGGAACTGGGTCAAAATTTGTCCCCAAAACAGTCCCATAGTGCAATTCGGTACAACACGAACCCACTTCACACGCGACCCCCAGATGACCAATGGGGACGTAGTTGAATTCTAGCCCTTTTGAAACCAGGGATTGAAATCCTTGTTCCTCGCCGCTTGGGACGTTTCGCCAGGAGGAACGTCTGCGCCTCAGCGACAGAAATTCTATACTGATGACGTAAAATCTGCCCGGAATCTGGTCGGGAGCTCTGATTGGGCGACATAGCAGTTATATTGTTTTACCTAATGTTTACGAATGACAGGCAGAAGACAAAAGGCCACAAAAGTCAAATGTAAACGGGGTAGTAAACGTGATGAATCTACGACAAAACAGCCAATATTCCTAAAATAGAAAAAGCATCTGAGTTTTGCTGGAGTTTGCTTGCAGTAGAACACAAAACGTTACCATAATCGACCAGGAGAAACATAAAATCATACAAATTTACCGGATTTATTATCGAAACATTGATTTACGTCGTCAGTATGGAATTTCTGTCGCTGAGGCGCGGACGTTTCTCCAGGCGATACGTCCCCAACGGCAAGGAGCCCGGAGAAACGGCTGTATTCGCAGGCTAATTGAGTGACCCTTCAGAAATACATTGTTCAATATTTAAGCATCAAGACAGTGCACATTCGGTGATAATCTCCCTTTATCTCCTTTATCTCCCTGCTTTTGGGAACTCAATGGCCGATTACAAAATGAAATGCATTTACGAGCCCTTTAAAATGTCCACTTAACGTCCCTTAAGCTTTTGTCCCCCGATTCAGACCATGGGGGCTTTTGGACCCCTCCCCCCTCCCCTGCGAAAAAGTTGAATAACTTAAGAACCGTTCAAGCTATGATTACCAAACTTAGCGACTTTTCCTAAAAATTAGCTGGGAACATTTGAAAGTCGTCATGACGTGTATGTCAACATTGACGTTATCATGGCAACCAAGTTTTGGCGGGTATGTTTTAAAAAAGTTGAATATTTCTTTAAAAAAATAGGTTTTAAAAAGTTATTGTCTCTGTTGGCAGATGCTGAGTTTAACTTTCAACAGTGTTTATTTCTCTCGGAATTGCATATTTTGCAGATTTTTTGCCTCCTAAGCATCCTTTTATACTCAGATCAAGTTTTCTATTAAGAGTTCCTCGATTTATTAGGGTTTTGATACCATGTTCCCAGAGGAAGTAGTTGTCACTGCTTCGCCGCTCGCTCTCTCTTTCGCGAAGAAAAAAATCAATAAAAAACTCGGGGACCATGGTAGGGTCTTAAGTAAAATGGAGTACCTTTGAATAATTCAAAATGGCAAATCCAACTTGGCGGATGCTTCCAGTTCCATGTTTAGTCATAAATGACGTCATCATGACATCACTGCTATTGTTAAAGGTTATTTACATGTTAGCCAACTTCTTGATCATATTTAACCCCTTACTATTTTAGTATCTTTCGCTTAATGTGTACTTGGAGGGAAATTTGGATTCTGCCCATAAATCAACAATGTGACGTCATAATTTCAGAAGTTGGAAATGATGAGTACGTTTTCTGTGGCGGTAACATGAGCGGTTTTGAAGTTATAGAGGGGGGTCTCTGGAGCCCACCCCCTCCCCCCCCCCCACCCCAGTGGCGGGAAGCGAAAAACGCCTGGTCTGCGGAGGGATAAGTTATTCAATCACACACGTCATCTTTAATGCAAAAACTGTCGAAAATCTTCCGTCACGGATGCCTTACCATGGAAGTTGTAACAAGAGAAATTTCGTATCTCCAAGCGACCATGTAATGTTCTATTTATTCTATAAACACCAATGAACTACCAAACCATTTCAGTTTCACAGTTTTTTGGTGTGAAAGGCGCGATTTATTATGTAGCCATATCAACGGTGATATTTTCACATGTGAAGATTACAAGTTTTTCGCGCGAAAGCTCACCTGGTTTTTCATTGGTGTTTATATAATAAATAACGTTCCGATCTTATAAATGTTATAGTTGATACGAACAACTAACTCAGTTTTCCTTTTTCAGCTAACATACCCCTTTGAAGACCATTTACTTGAATACAATTGCGAATCAGGTATGGGGTGTGATTATAACTAAGTGAAAACTGTTTGTTAACCACATTCAGTCAATAGAATGCTGAGCCTCTAGATCAGTTTTTTTGTTTTATTCCCCTTCCCCTTAGACTGCTTGCAGTCCGCCTTTTCTCTTTAAATGCGTGTAGTTCTTATCTGAGCCAGCGCGATTGACCACTCCAGAAAATACCATAACATACCATAATGTTCTTTGTTCGTCACCCCCAAATTTTACATAAGCATTGTCTTCAGTTTCTCTTGGGAGTTAAATGGCCCCAAGAGAAACTGAAAACAATGCTTATGCAAAATTTAGGGGTGACGAACAAAGAACATTATGGTATGTTATGGTATTTTCTGGAGTGGTCGACTGGAAGTTGTTTATGTTCTATTTATAAATTGTTTCAAGTTACTCGGGTTCAATTGGTTAATTAAATTACCTTGACAGCTTTGTTGTCCTCAGACAGAACAAAAGAGTCAGCAGTCTCTTATTTTTTCTTCTCGGGCTTACTCCCTCGTTTATCGCGCCTCGCGTGCTTGGCTTTCGTTAATTTGCAAAGATAAATAAGAGACTGCTCGCTGTCTACTTCGCCTCGGAGCAAAGTATGAATTTTAATTCATCGAAATTTGTCTATTGTGACGGGATTAAAGTGTTACATAATTACGTGCGTGTGTTTCTCACGGTTTTTAACCGAATTTTCTTAGATTTCTAATTTTCGTTTACTTAAAAGTGCGAGGTACAGAACGGTAGCGAAGCCTGTGTTTCAACAGACGTCTCCTTTTGGTCATTTTGAGGTTGCCATCTTACGCCGGAGCTTATTTCCTTTTCGTACACGGTCGTTGCCACCATTAGTAACCAAGCCTTTAGCCATGATGGATGTAATATATTCCCTGGATTAAGTTACAATGAGGCAAAAAATACGTTTTGAATAGTCTTGAAAAGAACGACGTTGAAGCCCACGTTGAATCTACGTTGAAAATTATGGAAAGGGCTGATGTATCAATTAAGAAAGACAGTTTGCTAGTTTATTTAATTAAATTTTTCGGAATTCTGACGGGTCAGTGGTGAAGGTAATGCTGAGAGAGAGAGAGATTAGCTAGGATACGACAGGACCGGGTTTGACCCTGGGTTACGATCTTCTTTCCTTTTGATAGAAACACTCTTAAAAACAGGTTAAAAAGGTACAAAGTGTCTTAAAAAATGGCAGCGACCGTTTATGAAAGGGAACTTGCTACGCCGGAACAGGGTCAAAATTCGGTAACAAACGCTTCATAATGCAATTTTAAGCAGCATCGACGCAGTCCTAGGGTGATGTTACTCGGGACGATTCGCAACGACGATTTTTAGCGCTACACAGCGATGCAATGTTGGAACAATGTTGTAACCGTTCGAAACAATGTTGCAACAATGCTGCAACTCTGTGTTGCGTTAAAAATCTTCGTTGTAAATCGTCTCTTGTAACATCACCTTCACGCGCCACATTAAAATGGCCTTATTTTGCTTCAATGCAACGTTGGAACAATGTTGTAACCGTTCGAAACAATGTTGCAACAATGCTGCAACTCTGTGTTGCGCTAAAAATCGTCGTTGTAAATCGTCTCGCGTAACATCACCTTCACGCGCCACATTAAAATGGCCTTATTTTGCTTCAATGCAATGTTGGAACAATGTTGTAACCGTTCGAAACAATGTTGCAACAATGCTGCAACTCTGTGTTGCGCTAAAAATCGTCGTTGTAAATCGTCTCGCGTAACATCACCTTCACACGTCACATTAAAATGGCCTTAATTTGCCTCAAGTAGTGAAGTTAGGAATTGTTTGTACGCAGGCTTCAGGACAGTAATAAGTCGTTTAGCTTCTTTTATAGGCAACTTAAGCTGTTAAAAATGCAATTTCCTAGTTTAAAAAATCCCTCACTTTAACAATGAGTCCAATGTACAATACTTTTCTGTGAAAATTCATTTTTGTATCATAGGTTTCCCACTTACCCTCGTTTAGAACGGAGGCTTGGGCAACTTGGAATCATTATGATGGGGGAGGGGAAGGGGTGAGGTTAGTGCAAAGTCTTCATTGGTTGGGGCTTGGTATAACTTCCTTCATTAATTTTGTAATCCTCTGGATCTTCTATCATATTTAGTTGGAGAAGAAAATGAACGACTTTTTGAGCTACTGAATTGTGTTGGACTGGTAAGTTTTTTTAGCGTCAGCGTAGATCATGTTGTCCTTAAAAGTTCTTTATATACTCCGAGTAGTGTAGTACATACTGCGAACATAGAGATCAAACTATGCGACAAGTGGTCGCTTACAAGAATGTTAAAAACAATGCCAAATTATTATACCATCGCCCTAAAAGTGGTCGCGCTTGCACACGAGATGTTCCAGCTGCAAGGCTTTGACTGGGAAAGTTTTTGTGTTGTTCTAGATAAGAAGTCGCTTACGAGAGGTTGTCGCACTTGGAGGCTCGGTTGTTTTAATGACGGCGTTTTGATTTAAAGGTGGATTTCTCGCCACTTCTGATCAAAAGGACATCCTTTGGATGCATTCATTTGGAATTACTGTCCCGACTCGCCGATGTGTTCAGTTAGCGTTGTGTGCTTTCTTTGTGCGAGACATTTTGATAGTTAAATAACCATATTGTGATAGATAGATATGAAGTACAATTGCATAAATTACGTTCACAACTGCGAGGATAATTGTTCATTTGAGTTCATTTCCGCTGTTCTTATATGATTTATTTCATATACATCTGTCACATTCATCTCTTTCACGGGAACATATGAACACATAATTGACCAGCTCCCAACATCAGTGGCTTCATATCTCAGTTGGTTAGAGCATCGCACCGGTATCGCGAAGGAACGGGTTCAGGTCCCATTGAAGTCCTGAATTTCTTTCAGGCTTCTTACGCAATTGCATAAATTGCGTTCACAACTTCGGGGATTATTCTTCATTTGATTTTAAATAACCATATTGATTTTCCTTGTCTTATAGTCGACTCTGTGTCATAGAGTTGGTGGTCTGGACAACCCGGTTGATTTCAGCTGGTGAGTATGCCTACGTGGTGGTATTTAGCAATTATTGGATGATGCTGGGTGTGATCTAAAGAATTACGCGGTGGATCGAGGACAACGTTATCCGGCGAGGCCAAAGGCAGAGGTGCATAACACCCTCCGAGCTGTATTTTTCTGTTATTGCTGGGATTTTATAGGCAGTAGTACGGCTCACTGTGTGAAACTTGTTCGCCTTTTTTCGAGTTCTACCAAAACAACGCAACCTCGTCTGAAATCAGGAGGCGCAATCCGTCTTAATGTACATTCAGAAAAATCTTAATTAGCCTTTCTTCAGGCCGCTAGAATCAAGGAAGTTGAGGCAATTTTGCCAAAAATTCTGGGAAAGATTCTGCTTCTTGTTTAAGTCAGTGTAGGTTGGAGAATTATTTATCTTTTAGGCTTCCACTAGTCTCGTACCCAGATCTCTTGTCAACAAAACCGTGAACGAGAGATTTGCGTACGAGATTAGGCTTCCACAGCAAAGTGTTTTGATCCTAAAACGTTTTGTAGTCTATTAGTTTTCACCTTTTGAATGCCTTTAAGTTAATCATGTCCCGTATTAAATTATTAAGTACTTAAGTTAAATAAACATTACTTAATAACAACGATAATGAAGAGAAAAATTGTTGTTATTTGCAAAAAAAAAAGATGAAGACAACATGAAACGCAGGGGAGGAAAATGCGTTTTTTTTTTCCAGCTAAAAGTCAGGTAAAACTTAGTTAAGCAATGCTTTTATCTCCAATGATACGGTGGCAACGCTCATTTCTCTTTCTCTTTTGTCTAGGGAAGGCATGCTTTCGCCTGGCGAAATGCAGAGGCTGTCTTTTGCTCGTTTGTTCTATCATCGCCCACTTGTAGCTCGTAAGTGGTCAATTTTTAGTTTTAAACTGACATTATCCTCATGACTTCAACTTGAAGTCAAATGAAATGTACTGAACAATACTTGTCTGTTGTACTGTTTGTCCTAAAAAATGAACCATGTGGTAATGTATTTATTTACTTGTACTACTACATGAGAAATTTCTGCAATTTGATTGGCTTAGAGCAGTAGTATTTCAGATAAATTTGAAATACCTACACGTGAAAATTACAAACAGTAAACTTGATTTCTGTTGATACTGTTTAACGGTCGTGAAAAAAATTTTGAAATCATGTGATATTAATGCAAAATATTATTTCATGCTATTACCTATACTTATATTTAATCTGGATGAAATCCTTCATTAGAATGAAAGCTAATGATCTGACCAGAACTCTCTTGTGATGAATAAGTTGGTTCCCACTTTTGAATCTGTGGACGAATCTGAAAGTGTGACCATTCAAATGAAAGCTAGTTAGGTGTGCTTTCACATGGTACTGTTTATTTCTTCATAACTTCCAAAGTGAATTTTGATCGCTTTCCGGAGGAAAGAGATTTTAGAGACAACAAAACAATCTGATGGCAAAACTGCTGGTCTTTAATCAAGGAAGAAAAATGTCCGTTAGTTCGTTAACGAAAAATTCTAACAGTAGGAACTACCACCAGGAGCCTGTTTCTCGAAAGTCCCGATAAAATGTCTCCGTTTCCATTAAATATCGAGGTTTTCTTTTGGTAACATGATAAAAAAAGTTAATGAAACAAAATGGAACAGGACCTTATTCTTTATATTTCGATTTGAATATTTGTGAAAGTTAAACTTTCGATAATCAGATCAAAACATAAATATAATCACTCAAAACATTAATAGAAAGAAATGACACGGCAAAGACAAAAGGAGGCACCGATAGACAAACTTGAAGAAGATTAAAACAGGTTGAAATTGTGGGTTTTGAAAAACTTGTTAGCCAAAAACTTTTTTAAAAAGTTTCTTTTTTGTTGTTTGTAACGTTTGGTATACTGCTCTACTTGGAAAGTATATTTATCGGAAGAGAAGCTGTGATTTCGTTGTTTGCATGTAGTTTCTTCGTTTGCGTTAAGTTCCATAGGCCATAAGCGTAATTACCAAGAAAAAAAACATTTTTTATATTTTCCGTTGTTATTAAATTTTTCTTTTTGGTTTGATAATCAGTTCTTGACGAGGCTACTAGTGCGTTAGATGAGCCCTCAGAGACAAGACTGTATTCAATGTGCAAGCAGTATGAAATCACTGTCGTTAGTGTTGGCCACAGAGAATCACTGAAGCAGGTAGGTCGGCCTAGTGCAACAATAGTCCAGTTTCGAATTAAAAATTACCGTTGAATACAAACATTAACGGCACATTTATACAGGGTTAGCCTCGACATAAAATAAAATATTCAGAAATTCCGGCAAGTAAGTGTTTGAAATTTGAATATACACAATAGACAGAGTAATAAACAGGTCTTTTTCTCGTTGGAATTTGTGAATGTATTACTTCAGGTGGAGGCTAAGCCTGTAAAAAATGCGTCTTCACTTCTTTAATTCAGCGGTCAAAGCGAACTCGAAACTGGACTATTGAGGTATTAAGTCCTGTGGGGTCCACTTTTCCGAAGACTGATTAGCAATAACTGAGGTTTAAATTTTACCTATGATTGGTTTATTGTTTTATATACTAAACACCTTTACATTGGACGAGGCTTTGTAATATCTGCAATAATCAAGGTCTGGGTAAATGTTCTCGGTGAGTGATATCACAAAAACCGGTGGAGACTAATCGTTTTATTATTCATGTTTTGACGAAATAACAACAAACTCACCGTCGCAATGAACAGTTTATTATTTTCCGAAAAGAATTTATACGGTGGAACCTCGATATAACGGAGGGCCAAAGGACTAACAAAATTTGTCCGCTATAACGAGGTTTCGTTATATCGAGGTTCTTGTCCATATATTTTGCTATCATTGGGGTAAAGAAAATTGTCCGTCATACAGAGGACTTAGTTGTATAGAGGTTCTTTTGATCGATGTTCCACTGTATTGCTCTTAGTAATCATGCATTGCACGCGCAATCTACAGATTAGATATGATCTGCTAGCATGTAATCTGCAGGTCGCGCTGATTTCCAAAATTGACTATAGTCTCTTAGCCAAGAGACTAAAGACAGAATGAGTACAAACAACCGTGCGCCATTTTGGGCAAAACAAAGAAAATACGTTTTCCGTGACATCATCAGTTTGTCTTTTCTCTAGTAGATCATGGGCAACGACCAACCACAACGTGCGTATTATTCACCAAATTAAGCCATAGCTCTCGACCAATTGGCGTGCAAGAAATCAACAACAACAACAAGAAAAATACACTGAAAATAGTGGAGGGGCAGCGATTTGCCGCAACAGACAAACGAGTTTTCAAATCTACTGTGTCATTTTATTTCCTCAGTTTCACGATTACAATTTGAAATTGGACGGTGAAGGAGGATGGGAGTATATCACGATCAACCAAGAATAAAGATTATGAAAATTTACGCGCTGTAAGTTTCGCGTTTGCTTAGTAATAAATTTGTTTAGCACTGGAGCCCGATCGGCTCCCGGTCCCGGGGGTAGGGGGCACTTGGGTATTTTTTGGGTGGGTATGTGCCGCCCGGGATTCCAAATTGGCACCCCGTTCTAAAAAAAATTTCCCCTTAAATTGATACCCCGTTCTAGACTTCGCCCTAAAATTGATACCCCGTTCTAGAAATGGGCCAAGTTTTTATACTCCGCGTCTAGGGTGCAAAGAGTACAACAGTTTGCTTGTTAACGCATTGAATCGTATTTTAAAAGCAATCTGTCCTTGAATAATTCGAAATGGCTGCTTACAAAACTGGAGCTTTCGTGCGTTTGAAATATTATACCCCGTTCTAGAAAACGCCTCTGAAATGGATACCCCGTTCTAAATCAGGAGCTTCAAAATCACAACCCCGTTGGGCGGCACATACCCGTATAGGTAATGCATGGGAGTAACCCCCCCGGGGGCTCCCGGTAAAGCGTAAGTAAGCACAGGTCTGATTACGAGCCGCTTATAGGGGAGGAACGAAACCGGTCCCGTGAGTGCATCGGAAATCTAGCCTGAAATAAAGAGAACTTTTACTCTTTAAACCCTAAGATCAAAATTTGAATTTTCATTTGTTGCCGCTATTCACTTCCTACAGAAGTGGTGGTGAGAAGTTGATAAAATATCAAGCAAATTCATTTTGTGTGATCATGTCCGTAATTCTCATGACCCCTCTGTTTTACAAAGCATTGACATTATTCATTCCCGAAAGAAGTAGTGGGGAGAAAATGATAAAATTTCAAGCAAATTCATTTTGTGTGATCATGTCCGTAATTCTCATGACCACTCTGTTTTACAAAGCATTGACATTACAAGGAGAAAGTACAAAGTGAATTTAAAGGGGCTATATCACGTTGATACTGCTGTTTTAGATCAGTTCTGTGCTGAGCTCATTACTTAGTACCTTTACCAAGAAATAAAATACTCCTGTAGAGTTATGAAGAAGATATCAGAGCATAATATTTTTGGTGATTTTTGCAGGCATGGCATAAAACTTGAAAAAGTTGCCCCAACGTTGTCAAGTTTCAATCCATGTTAATAGTATATGGCAAAGGCCTTGTGTATAGTGAAGTGCACTTAGCTGCCCTAGCTACTTAACAATTATTCCTCGAGCCCGAATGAGCTCTGAGTCAATTGCCCATGAGGGCGAGAGGAATAATTGTTTTAGTAAAATCCAACTATTTGCTCAAAAATATCGAGGATAAAAAAAATTTAGCTAGTTAAAAGCTAGACTTTAATCCTTTTTTGCCGCCAAAAAGCCCGCGCTTTTCGCTACTAGGGGGCTATAACATATAGCCTAGTAGTAGCTCAACCAATCAGAACGCAGCATTGATAATAGACCACTAGTTGGATTTTGCTAAAAAAGTTTACAAGCACGTCACTCCACTTAAATAATATGATATTTAAAAAAGTGCAAATAGAACGCAGGATTCATAGAGAGACGAGTTTTGACTCGGATATTGCTGAAACGTGGAACGGGGTACCGGGGACGAGCAAGGGGAACGGGAAATAGAAAAATGGGAACAAAACAGAGAATTGGAAATGGCGTTACTGAAGGGTTAGGGTTCAACTTAGGTTTTGTTCCCATTTCTCATTCTCCCGTCCCTCTTGCTTGTTTTCCGTTTACGTAACATCCCCTTTTTAACTTGAGAGTCTTTTTTTCGAAATTCAGACCAAGTGACTGGTCTTTGGTCTTTTCATAAATTATGCATACATAAGCACAGTTCTCCGGGGTACCATCACGTGGTCTGACGTGGCAAAACGAAAAGTCCAAGCCCAAAAGGTCTGTTCGTGGTAGTAGTCACGTGACGAGGCAGCCATTTTGGTGGTCATTACAATAAACAATTTTTTGAAGAATTTACCTTAAAATGGTGTTTACTTCCCAGATGAGAGAATCACCTTTGTTCTTGATTACCAACATGGCCGCCGTGACGTCACGTGCAAACCAGCAATTCAGGGTACTAGCCAATGAAAGAGGTGATTATGTCCCCAAAACAGTCCTACAGTGCACCTCAACACATGCAACACCGACCCAGTCTCTGGCGCTGCCTCAAAATGGCGGTTTCATGGAATGTTGGAGGCTGAGAACATGGCCAATTAGAGCCACCTTAAAAAAGCAAAAACTTAGCAAACTACTTCAAAGCCAAGGTTACTACTTTCACTGTTCAGAGTTAAGATAATACCAATCCGCTGCTAATTTACTAAACTTTTTTTGGAAATTTACGCAGTTATAGTGTTTGTAAACTAAAACTGGTGTTATCGTGGGCGCCATTTGCCATCATAATTTTACTCGGGCGCAAAGCGTTTTCAACGCAGAGACGCTTGAAATTTTAAGGAAAATGAAAAGATGATTACTTTAACTAATTATTCTATACATCTTTGTTCTCAGAAAAAATATATTTTTCCTTCTTCAAAATAACAAGCTTTCATTTCAATGTAAAGTCAATGATCATTTGAAAAGCAATTTTAAATTGTGGTACAAATATCACTTGCTTTCATATAAAGAAAGATGGATCAATTTTATTTTATTGTAAAAAATTAACGCAGTAAATATCTGCCGACGATTCGAAAATTACTAAATAGCTTTTTTACACCACATAATTTACTACGACAGATTTTTGGAGTTCTCTTTCTCTAGAGAAAAAAACATCCTGTTTTTGCAAAGATGAATCGCTTTTATAGTTAGGCGCATATGCGATTTTGTGTCTCGTAGTAGTCTCAGTCGTATCTAATAAGCTTTCAAATAGAATGAAGAAGTGTGACGTCATAGAAATTCAAATTTGTGAAATTATGGGATTGGTTGGTATATTCACAGGGTTCGCGCGCACCTTGAAAGTCCTTGAAAGTCAAGGACTTGAAAATTCTTGAAAATTGCAGTCGATGCTGGAAAGTCCTTGAATTCTGGTGCTAACTTTATCCAACCCAGATTCTCAAGTAGCTAAAAGGAGGCAAACCCAGAAACACCTTCAGGATAAAATTACTCATGTTGTGGAAGAACTAAAAAAGACATAGACTCAAGGCTCTTTTTTGCATTGAATGGAGTGCTTCAAAAATGGGAAATGTGTTCTTGAAAGTCCTTGAAACGTCTTAGAACATTTTGTTCAAAAAAGGGTACGAACCCTGTTACTTCAAAAAGGACAAAATGAAAAAGGCCCTCTTGGCAAAAAGAAACAGCCCGTTAGTACAAATTGTGGGAGAGTGATAAACACCGTTATGTTCTGATGACTCCAGGCCTCTTTTAGGGCCTGTTTACATGAAGCTGGGGGACCCCAGGTAGGTGAGGTAACATGTGGCAAGTTATCGCACCTAACATGTAAACGTGATCACATTAAAATGAGAGATTGTATGGAAAGGCGGGTTACCCCGCCTAAGCGGGTTACCTCACCTACCTGGGGTCCCCCACCTCCATGTAAACAGGCCCTTAGAAGGATCTAAGGTTATGTGATGAGTTTTATAAAGAATTCTATCGAGCCGTTTCTGGGATATAGGAAAAGCGTTAAAAATCAGGATTTTGCATAAAGTTGCTCTTGGAATGGTGTTTAGAAAAAAGTTAGTTTCCAAAAAAAAGAAAAATGCACCAACACGCTCATTTTTTGCAAGTGGACATTTTTCATCGTTTTCTTTTCTTGATATGCCAACCTATCCTATAATTTCACAAATTTAGCGCTTATGACGTCATCACTTCTCAGGTTCCGGATGTCTCGTGGCAATCCGAGCGATGACTCGCTTGCGTAATTTTGGAGAGATCTGAGTATGAGATTAATGAGATTATTATCTATTTTCAGTTATAATTTGGTAGTTAGTTTAAGGTTAATCGTAACCAATAGTATTTAAGTAAATATTTAATTTTTTTTTTGGTAGTGAAGTGTTCGATAAAAAAACATCGTATGATGAGAAGCTGTATGTTAAAAAAGATAATAATAACAATAAACTTTGAAATGCTGCTCGCAACGCAACGAGTGGGAAAGCATACCAAGGCGACACCTCGTTCAGTTAGCATGTGACCCTCAGTTTAGTAAACATGTGGTAGAGACGATGGAGCCGTGTAGTCTTCGAAGGATGGGTTCTTCAGGTGCTCGGCTGAAACTGCCAATAAACCTAACAGCCTTTTAATTCATGTATTCTGCATTAGAGCTGAAATCTAACTATTCAGCAGTTTCGCTCTTTGTATGGGCGAGCGCGACGCCAGCAAAATGTCCTGAGAAGGGTGGAAAGATGCTGAAGCCGTAGCCAAGAATGTCGCAGTAACCGTTGCTAAACTTCGCGTTCTTGCCCCTACTTTCAGTGCGATGAAGTCTTCTCTTCTGATGGTTAGTGGGCTTATTTTTATGACTGTGACTGCTAGAAGAAGGTCAAATAAAGCAGTTAATATACACTGTAATATCCAAAAAAGGAGCAACTTTGCAGGAGCATGACACATTTCTTTGCTATTTGCATACGACTACAATGTGAAATTTTAATAAGAAGACGTTTAAGAAGTACGTAAGCGCACCACGACTGCCGTAAATAATCGATTTAGCGCCGCGGCGCTTATTTCATTTTCCCTGTTATAGGTGCGGCGCTTATGGAGTGTTTTCACATGACGTCACGGCGGCCATATTGGTGTCCCAAAACAATGAAACGGCGGCCATGTTGGTGTCCCAAACCAGTCCTCTGGGAGTTGAACTCTTTTCTTATGCAAACGCTTTCTTTGTTCCAATAAATTTGCATATATGCTGGCCACGTGAGTGAAAACACTCTATACGAGAGCGGCGCTTATTTCAACTTCGGGTAAAACACTGAGGGGAGTACAGAGAGAATTAAGTGAGACGCGTACCAGGCATGCTCAATTTATTATAAAATATGTACACCTCGAACTGTTAAAGAGTTTCCCTCCTTTAAATCTTTAGAACTCACGAGTTAGTCGGTCTTATTTCTCAAGCGATATAGTTTTGATATCGCTTTATATCAATCGCCGTAATAAGGGTGGGGCGTTAATTTCTAAATACCCAAACTAGCGCCGCGGCGCTTATTCAAGAGGGACGTTTATTAACTTATTTGCGGCAAAGATGGGGCGCTTATTCGAGTAGCGACGCTTAATCAATCATTTACGCTATTTTTTTTTCTTTCGCTTTCTAGACATGGGTGCGCTCTTGCCATCCATGCATGTTTTAGTTGCTAAGTAAGCCTAATACAGGGAAGGAAACAATGCATGAGGACAAACTGGAATACGATGTCCGTACTGTCGAACAAGGGTTCCAGAGAAAAGAGGGGGGACCCTGCATAGTTAGGAATTCCATTGAGGGGTACTCTCCCGGATGAGACATTGCCTTGCACAGTATTTGTTTCATCAGCTTGACTGGTCACATCGCAGGATTTCCACAGAATCGAGATCGCTGAGGATAATAAAGGATACCACAGCATAGAGTACTGAAATCAGGGCTGCCGATAGCCAATCAGATCAGAAAATTTTGTCATAGTTACCATTAAACCTTGAAAGAAAAATAAACAGTTGTATATGAAACAAATTAATTCATCCTCTTGGTTTTTCTTATTATTAATATCTTCCTCCAATGAAATAATTCTTTACATGAAATATTTACAACATGCTTTCTTACAACCCGCCATCCGGGCTCCGCTTAGCAAAAACAGTCTTCGAGGCGTTGTTTCTTATCCGTCCATGTGCTAGGTACCCAAACTTTTTTTACTTAAAGAACAACAAAAAAACAACGTAGTGTAACGAAAACGATGCTAAGGACTTCCCTGAACACATTTGAAAGCACGGGACAGAGCAGAGCAGATATCACTTGTCACCGATTTTGAACAATACTTTTCTAACATTGATACACAAAATTCTCGTTTCATTTCAGTCTTTGAACATCAAGAAGAAAACACAAAATTCAAATTAATTTTAAAAGTAATATGATATTGGTTGTCTTTTCAGATTTTCAAAATGCTGTCCATAATTGTCGTCATGGTCTGTTGTTTAGGGTGTGAATTGTGACAACTGTCAATTGTGGAAATCAACTCCTTCGTCCGTACGTCTTCCTTTAGCTTCTCGCTTCCTAGGGGTCATTCCAATTGGGGCATCAACAAGTACCCTCTCCTGGTACAAAATTATTTTTTCCTGTTGCTGTGTCTTTAATCCCAGCTTCTGCTTCTCAAAGAATCGAGTTGTCATCAATTCGTTGGTAACTGTATCGACGGTGGTAGGAAGAAATAAAACATCCTGTTGCTATGACAACAGCAAGACCTAGTACCACAATGCCAGTGGCCCACGCCATGTTTTGTAGTACCAGTCTGTTGTAACTTTCTGTCGAAGCCTTCTGGTGGAGGATTTCATCAGGGTCTTTTGGGTTGTAGTAGCACGTTAGTGATTCTCTAGTGGGATTGCCACACTCGGCTGACTTAAGAAGTTTGTGTTCCGCTTCCTGTTTCTCTCTGCATTCTTCCGGTTCATAGGTGCACTGGCAACAATAAACAACAAGTAGTTAGGCAACAGCCATATTGATATGGACTACATTGTACTTACTGTCATCTCACTGGCTAAGAGCCTACAATTAATTTTAGTTATCAGTGCAACATTCAGAGTAGTCAAATATCTCCTAGCACAAATTTTTCAAGGTGCCCGCGTGATTCACACTTCTTTGACCGCTGTAGCGCACGTTCTTGCCGGCTGTTTCGCAGTGTAACGTACTTTGTATTGCCTGTTGTATACATTATTAAAAACTGAAAAATTAACAAAGGTTATTAAATTACAAATACAAACAAGTACCTCAACAATTTCGCAACTGGTTGTCGGTAAGTTATTGTACGTTGCAAGCAGATTCTTGTGTACCGCCAAAAGAACTTTGTAATACTTAGCCAGCGAAAAAGAGCGAAGAATTAGGGCACCTACTTTGTGGCATGAAAAATTTTCGCGGCATCTAATTTTCTAGAATAGGGTTTTATTGTATCGAGGCTCTTTTCCACAATCTAGATATATATTCACTATTAATGGGGTGACGAATTCATCGTTAACGAGGACTTCGTTAATTAGAGGCTTGTTATGTAGAATGTTATATAGAGGTTCCTACGTGCAACAAAGCAAGCTCGATCTTTGTTTGCATAATCCCAGTAAGTCCAGATCGGACTTAAAATTTCGGCGGATCGAAACCCTTAGCCAATAAAAATCAAGGAGTTAACGGAGGAGTTATGTAAAGAAAAAAAGTTGGAAGAATTAGGAATTGTCAGGGAAGGGAAAATAGGGAGGGGGAGGATTCGTACTCTACGAGAGCCTTATTTTTCCTAGCCTGAGGGCAAGTACATCTCGGAGGCAGTGTGGGGTATCGCTCTTTTCCCAGGCAGGTTAATATTTTGCCATGCGAAAGAAATCTCTAGGTCAATTATACAGTGACCCACAGAAGATGTATGCAGGAAGTCGGCCTTACTAAACTAAAAAAAGATATATTGTTTTCCTGTGGCCAAAATCCGTTTAATGTGCCTTTTCCTGTTTTGCTTTAACGGCTCGAATTGGCCAAAGGTTAAGACTTTTGACTGTAAATATCACCTGTTTTCTATCAGTTGTCATTAAAGGGCAACCCCGTTTGATTGTCCTTATAAGAAAATAAATATTGAAAACAAAGAACATGTTCATTTTAACAGAAAAGCGAAAAAAAAAATTCTATGTGCATCAACAAGGACTGGTTCAGTCAATCCACCGTTTGGTTTAACTGTTCCTGTTTTTCTTAGGAGATTGCAAATTAAACGCGCGTTTAAGATACAGAAAGTAAGAGGCAAGGGAAGCAAATTTCTTGGTAGTCTGTATGTCAATATATCTCGAATTACGTGAAAAAGCAAGTATCGATTAACAGCTCCAATTTATTAAACGCTTTGAGGACTTAAGACTGATTTTCAGCTTATTCCCCTTTCCAGTGGGGGAAGGGGGGAACAGGGGGGTGGGACCCCGGCACAATAGGGGGCTAGAGGGGTACGGGGTACGGGAGAGAAAAGGGTAGGAGGTGGGAGTTCTAAAGGGGCGGGAAGCGAAACAAATAGGGGGAAATTACGCAACAATGCTTAATATTTTGCAATAGAAAAAGGGCTTAAGGGTGGAAGCAAAAAAAATAAAAAAGGAGGGAGCCGATATGGAAGGAACGAGATGCTTGCAAGACGCCTACGCCAGTGTTCTCTGCTCTGGCGGGCCCACGTGGGGACGGGGAGGGTTGCGTTACTCCGGCCACTGCAAGAGCGGCTCTGAAGATATGTATTTAACGATTTGGACGATTTAAAATTAATTCACCCTACAATGATTGAAGGACCGAAAAAATTCAAGTTTTTTCGTTCTTCTCTAAATGTGATATGATCTAAGACACAAATAACAAAACCAAAACGCAAAGAAACTTCTTTTCGATACATATTGGAAACTTGCTTCCGACCATGCAGGCATTGTCTCATGTAAGCTATCGCCTGTTCCAGGCTCTCAGATAGTGGGGACGATGCGAAAGTGAAAAGTACCCGAAAATCTGAACGCAAGCTTTTCAAGCAGTTTAGCCTAAGATGGCGAGGTTGCCTTGAGTGGGATACTTCTTGGCGGCGGAGCCGTCAGAGGCGAGACGAGCGGCAAAGCCAGGCTAAATTTTCTAAACAAAAGGGTATCAGTGGAAATCAAAGGTACGGCAAATTGATCAGTGGGGAAAGTTGCATGGGTTAGATAGATCTAGAATAGGATAGGGATTTTTGATGCCAAGCCCACATAATACGGTTGTAGCTGAATATTCGTACGCCGTTTGGTTTGTACGAAGACTACAAAGGCCACGGAATTAAGGGCCCAAGCGGCACAAAACCTTACAAATAATCGTAGAGTACCCCCGAGTAATATCCTAGGCAATTGGCGACTATAACAGTGGTTTACGCGATACGTGGGCCGGCCGCAACGCAGGCTAAGAGACTACAAAGGTCACCGAATTAAGGGTTCCAGCGGCACCCACCCCTACAAATAATCATAGAGTACCCCCCGGTTAAACTACGCAATTGCGTCGTCAGTAATCAGATATTTGGCAGAAATCGTGCTTAAGAAAATGATCCAACCTTTTAACGTTTCATACAAGAAACAAACATCCTTAAAAAGATCTAAACAGAAAGTGATTCATTAAAACTTTCCATGCAAGAAACAAACATCCCTTAAATCGTTTTAAAAACGTTCTACAGGTTCAGTAGTAACAATATTTACTCGATACATACAAGTACATACACATCAAAGAACATACCTGTTTATGAAGACTGTGATAATTTCTTGCTAGCAAACGACGCTTGTGAGCAGTTTGTAACAGCATATTGCTGTCATTGTTTTCAGCTTTGCTTCCACACACAACATAAACCCTTAAACAGGAAAACTCTTTATTATCGTGTTTGTGTTTGGAACATTTAGCGCTCGCGTCCATGTTGCATGATTCAAGTGTACAGTTTATTTCTTCAAATTTCTGTTCCTCTCGTGCCGGATAAATGTTATGGACTTCGACGGCAATTAGACAGGCCGTACCCACGAGAAATACTCCAATCCCAGCTAAAAATGCGGCTTCGGTTTTTAAGCATTTCATTTTTTATGTTAGTCTCAACCAAACTGAACGAAGTGACTGTTAACGCTTGCGAAAGACTCAACCTAGTCATGATATTGCATAAATTAGAACTTGACACCCTGTGTTCACTGCTAATTTGGTCACGAGAGGCGTGCGGTTTTCATCACAAGATCTCAGCTTGATGCTACTTTGACGCAAATCAGCAGATGGACACTTTTTCAGCTTAATCATTTCACTTCCTCACTGATCTACTATTGTATACCAATCCCGGGGGGGGGGGGACTCCCATATGAAACAGACGGGGATGCTCGTCGTCTCGCTTAGGGGTGTAAATTTTGGATTTTGGTCTCGCTTAGGGTGTTCAGGGCAAAGCGCTAATATTTTAAGCTGCGAAGGTCTCGTTTAGGGTTCCGCGAAGAACTTGAGATTTATGACAATGCTTTTAAAAACTACTTTTAGATAAGAGCATTCGATGATTATGGCTTTTGTATCATGAAAACTCATTGCATGTCGTATTTGTGTGTTTTTAAGCGGTCTCTTTTAGGGGTCAAAATTTGCTTAAGCGACGCCCAGATTGGTCTCTTTTAGGGGTCACAAAAAGCTTGAGCCACGCCCAGATGGTCTCCTTTAGGGGTTAAATTCAAAATTTCCGACGAGCATCCCCGTCTGTTTCATGTAGGAGTCCCCCCCCGGGATACCAATAGACAGTAATTTAAAAGCGGAAACCTCAGAAGAATGCAACAGTAACCCTCTAACATTCCGGAACATGCCAGAACATCCCGGAACATGAAAAAATTAAAATATTTTTTTATGAAAAAATAATTAATTTATTAAATAATAATAATAATAACAAATAATAATAATAATAAAAAGAACAATAGATAGAAAACAATTTTTGCAAAAATTTATAATAACAAAATAAATAACATAACATAACATAAAAACCAAAAATAAAGAAACAAAGAAAGAAAGAAAGAAAGAAAAAGAAACTGGTATCATCTCCGAGTATGAGAAAACAATATTTTGTGGCAATGATTTTTTTGGGCGAGTGATGGTCCATTCAAATGACAGTAATGAGTGAAGGCTTGCTTCTAAATTCAAAATATATTAAAATGGGTCGCGAGGAGAGGGTTTTCAAGCTTTCGTCACACAGCCACCTCTTGTTATCCATTTACGGCTTTGCGACTGTAATGAGAGCTTAGGAGCTCGTCGCTTTCGACTTGGATAATTAAATTAAAGATTCACATTCGCCGTGAATAGTTGCAGTGGCAGTGGTAGCGCAGCGGTAGTTCCTAACTGTTATCAGTTAGCCTGAATTTTTGGCCGTCTCCCCGCAAACTCCTCTTGCGACTCGAGGAGACGTCTGAAATATCATGCGGACTGTAAACAGTATAGAAACTACTACGAATGTGAGTATTGTCCATTAAAATCCAAAGACAGGAGCCCCTATACTCTTCTTAAGTTCACAGAGCCGCCTAGTCT